TAGCATACTATGACAGTACTGTTGGACACATTATGACACCAATGAATCAAAATTCTGGATGTTCCCTCAAATTGTTAAAACTTGAGTTACGTTCTACAAGTCTAAAGAAAATAACAAATATAAATATGAGGATATATACATATCTACTTTCAGTTTAATTTTTTTTTACAGTTAGTCGATGTCAAATTTAAACTTACATGTTTTGCGGAGCAGTGTGTCAGATATTAATCTATCTTCTAACAGATAATGTTGTGATAGAATAAACAGCGGGATGACCCCTCGAGGTATGAAAATTAGCTCCATCCTAACATTCCAAAATTTAAAATCAGGTGAGCTCTTGGACAAAAATATTTCAAACACCTTTTTTTAAGCCATACCAATTAAATCCATGTTTTCTTTGTACCACAGAAATATAGCAAAAAAAAACAACCTTTTTATATATCGACCTTGGATCGCAGGCTCACACCATCCAACGGCTAAAAATCCACAGGGTTGCCTATATAAGCCAAATCCTTCCACTTGTCTCTCCCCTCGTTATTTACATATCATCTAAATGGTTTAAAAAAAATTAAAAAATCAGTAAGACATATTAATATGTGATAGACCACTTCACAAACTTGCAAGCAATAACTCAACTTCTACATGTTGCAACAAAAAACAATTTTTTTTTTGCAACTAGTAGTTGAATTTAAATTGCATGTTTGTGGAGTGATTTCACATATTAATCTATCGTATTAATTTTCTTAATTTTTTTCATAATCATTTAGATCATATGCAAACAACGCGGGGAGTGTTCTCTCGGGAGTTTTAAATTGTTTCTCTTTACAAAATAAACAAAACTATTTTACTAGCTTACAAAACATGCAAAACTAGGTATTATTTTAGTAAAATACAAACCTAAATATTGCTAAATATTAGAATTCAGTGAACTCTTCAAAAGACAAAGATTAAATGCACATCTATCAGCTGTAAATGATACTGTTGGTTGTTGAGTTGTGATCCAAATTCAATTGCAAATCTATAAAGGCCAGCTTCTGCCGGAGCGAAGCAGAGGCCCGTCACCGGAGGCTTGGGCCGATCGTTATCCTTTTAGGGTGTCACCTTCATATATATACTTCTTGTAAGCCGCTGTTCGGCGTTGTTGTAACCTCATCCCAATGTAGTGAAGATATTTTGCTAGCTGGCGCCCATGGTTTTTCTCTCCTGCTTTGGGAGGGTTTTCCACGTTAAATCTCGTGTCTTTTGTGATTGATCTATTATTTTTTCTCGTTTATTTGCCTATCATTTTCTAATATTGGTGACCTCTACAAAACGTAAAATGTATTGCCTACAAACTTTAATAGAAACGTGAGGTGACATAGCTCAACTGGTTAGGTTCTGTTAGGTTCCTTACGGTGGAATCAGCTCACCTGGATTCAAATCATAGTTTGACATGCGTGCTCATATTTATAACTATTTATTCTTTCAGTACTAGGTGATGTACCTGTCGATAACGAGACGCCCGTTGTGACTTCATCAATCTTAAGATATGTCAGTCCAATCTTCCGCTGGTGCTCATAAGGGTAGGATATGCGTGTGTTTCTCAACATGAGTGTGCATTGTCTGGACTGTATTTCTAAAAAAGATTAAAAAACACTTTGCTGCTCCTATAATATATAACTTCACAAGCATGCATATGCCCCTTTGATGTGTAGATTCACAGGCTACAAGAACTAAATCCAAAAGCACATAAGAAGAAAAAAATTAAAAAAGGCCATAACGACAGATCTACGTGAATCGAAACAACTAAAATCGCGCACCACCGCCACGAAATGGATCAGATATAGATCTGTTACGTTACTTTAGGCTACTCCCTCCATACAAAAATAAGTGTAGTTTTGCACGGTTCATATACAACGTTTCATCGTTCGTCTTATTTTAAAATTTTTTATATGATTAATATTTTTATTGTTACTAGATGATAAAACATGAATAGTACTTTATCTGTGACTAATTTTTCTATTTTTTTAAAAAAAATCAAATAAGAACGGACGGTCAAACGTTGTATGGATTTTCACGGCCGTACTTATTTTGAATGGAGAAAGTATAAAATAATATTATACATACTTACCGAGTTGGGGGCACATACACCTCACATCGCCAATATTCCGCATGTGGATGAGCCCCTTTACAACATAAGGGACGCCACGAAATGCCTTGTCATGAGCTGCCGGATTTGCCGTGGTTGCCTCTCAACCATCTCCCCCACGGTCGGGCCGAGAAAGCCGTGCATCGGCAGTGGCAGCTGCATCGCGAGGCAGAAGGTGTGTGTTGCAACGTACGCTACCATCCGCTCCCATATCCTCCTGTCAGTGTCGGTGCAGCCGCAGCAGTAGCAAGAAGACAATTGGACCTGCGGCTTCGACATGGACACCGAGCTGTGAGAGATGGTGTATGACAAGAACCTACCTTTTTTTTTTAACTACTCGCACGAGACGGTGTGAAGTTCTATTGATAGAGCAGGAAAAAATTATAAAATTACAACCCTGGAGGGTCATAACCAGGAAAAAGGAAAAAAAACCACCACCCACACATCAACATCGCCAACACACCAACCCAGGAGAAGGCTAGCACCGGAACGGCTGCCGCTAAGCGTGACCGACCGCCACTAGACCAACAAAGGGACACAGACGAGGTCGCCCCCCTAGGGGATGCCAAAACGACGTCTTCAAGAAGAGAAGCGACAGAAAACTGCCGCCGCCGTCCGTCGAAGCTCAAAGGAGCCAAGACTAGGCTTACGCCAGGCAACCACCCTTGAGGGGTGAGACAGCACGACAACGCCCTCAGGAGAGGGAATGAACCATCGTTGTCGGTCCGGCCGAGGCCAGACTAGGTTTTCACCCGCCGCTCACCACCTGCGAATCCACGGCTGATACACCGATGCTCCATCACCACACAAGCTCTGCCGACATGTGAAACCCCTGCACCGGCGTCCCCCGCCGGCCAGCCTTGTGCGCCGAAGACCGCGCCACTCCCACCGGCAGCTCCTCCTCACAGCCAAACCGGCCTCCTCCACCGGATGCGCCTCTCGCGCCATTCCGGCCTCCCTCCATCGGCCGCGCCTCTCGCGCCAAGCCGGCCTCCATCTCCGCCGCCCGCGCGTCTCGCGCCGAGCCGACCTCCACTACCATCGGCTGCGCCTCTCTGCGCCAAGCCGGTCTCTGACCTCTCCACCAAACGACGCCACGCCGGCCAAAAGCAGCCGTCTGCCACTCCCTCGGCTAGCCATCCGAGTTCGCCATGCCTCCGGTGACCACAGACACCGTCACCGCCACCGCAGCCGCTGCTGCCGAACACCCAGCCACCTCGCTAGCAACCCGCATCCGCCGACGTCACCACCGTCCACAGCCACGGCTGCCGTCACCGTTGCCACCGATGCCAGCCTCCGCCTCCGCAAACCGCTGCGCCGTCGTCCTCTGCCACCAAGCAGCCAGCTCGACGCCCCCGTTGCCAGCCGACGCCGCCGCCAACTGCCACGAGCACCACGGCGGGCACGACCTTCGCCGCCGTCACCAACAGCCGTCTGGCCGGTTAGCCTCCGCTGCGTGCCGGCCGAGCTGCTCCTCCGAGCCACATTGCCGCGCCATCGCGGCCGCCGCCGCCGCGAGCTGTTCCGCCGAGTCGCGCCGCCGTCTTGCCGCGCCGCCGTCGTCGGGAGCTTGAGGCCGCCCGCCGTCTTGCCACGCCGCCGTCGCCGCGAGCTTGGGCCGCCCACCGACTTGCCGCGTCGCCGTCGCCGCGAGCTCGAGGCCGCCCGCCGTCTTGCGGCGCCGCCGCCGCCCCTCTCCCGATCTGGCCGGCGGGGGGCCAGATCCTCCACCGGGGAGGCCGGATCCGCGTCCGGCGCGACCGCATCCGCCCCGCCAGCCGCTCCGGCCGCCACCTTCCGCCGTGCATGCGTCGCGCCGCCTCCCACGCCGAGGGGGTGCTCCGCCGCCGGCACGTTTTCCCCGCCGCCGCCTTCCCGGCCGGCCGCACGGTTTCCGGCGGCGGGCTCCGGCGGCAGCGAGGTGGCTGGAGGCATTGGGAGGGGGTGGCGCGGGCGGCTAGGGTTTCGCTCCCGAGCCGCCCGCGTGAGAGCGGCGCGAGAGCTTTTGGAGATTTTTTTTTGACAGTAATTTTAAGAACCTACCTTTTGAGATGGTAGCAGCGGCGGCCACCTCTCCTCCGCTAGATCCAGCTGGAGGGGAGGCGGCAGCAGCGGCATGCGGTGGTGGGCTACCGACCCTCCGCCGGCAGCACCCTCCCCATAATTGGCCCATTCTTAGTTTTAGTGTTCTGGAATGTTTTTGGATTGGTCGTCGTGAAGGGGAGCTGCTCAATGAATTGGCTGAAGCTGTTTTTTTTTTAACCACATAGGTGCCGGTCACCTATTTCCCCTCCATATCAGTGCCAGTTTCTAGGTGCCAGTTGGAAAATCCGGTGCCTTTGTGGGGTCCCAACTGGCACCAATTAAAGTTTATGTAGCAGTGTGTTAAAATTTCCAGTTAGCATTCAAATAGAATCAACAGCACACCATTAATATCTCATGGAAATGACTATACATTTGTCGGATAATTTTTTTTTAAAAAAATCACCAAGATTTTTTCTACCCATAGATTTACATCCAACGGACTATAAAAGAAAATAATAAATACATATTTATTTACACAATATTTTATTAAAATTACAGTGCATTATCATGTCATATCAACTGAATTTACAAATGTAAGTTTAGTTATATAGGAATGTAATTTATATTTTAAAGAAAATAACAAATACATATTTACTGACACAATATTTCTATAAAAATTACAGTGTACTTACCTGTCATATCAATTGAATTTACAAATATAATTTTAATTATATAAGACTATAGTTTTGTATTTTTTATTTTAGTTTTAAATGTCTTAATTTTTTGACAGTCAAAGAAATTAATTTTTATTTATAAAGGAAATGGAGAGAGAGCGATAAGGAAGCAGGGAAAGCAAGAGCGAGAAGAAATCAATGTTTAACAAAATCGTATCACATTCTACATTGGTAATAATTAACAGATGTTGAAAAGCCAGTGTCACCGACATGTGGGCCCCCCGGGCGTGCCTACGGTTTCACGGGAGCAACTACGAGGAACATCCTGGCGACACGCCACAGAACATCGAGCGCGGCGAGGCCCATGACGGCGTAGCGAGCTCGCCCCAGCGACAGGTGATGGTGGTGCTTTCTCAGCTCCTCCAGCGGCGGCAGCAGCGGGAGCTTCCCCCTGCCGCCGCCGTCGAGGCTGCAGCAGCAGAAAGCCCAGAAGTAGACCAGCACCCTGGCCTTCTCCAACAACTCTAGCTTCGTCTTCCTCCCCGCTTGCTCCTGGTACAGCGCCTCCAGCGCCGTGAAGTAGATGTACATCACGCACAGCCACAGCAGCTGCAGCCCGTCCGTCGTCGTCGTCGATGTAGGCCGCGGCGGCGCGTCGGGCTCCTCCTCCAGCGCCTCCTTGTAGAAGGTTGCTTTGAAGAAGACGACGAGCTCGAGGAAGTCGATGGAGAAGGCGAGCAGGGCGAGGCCACCGAGGAAGTCGATGGCGCCGGCGAACGCGCTGAGGGAGAGAAGCACCGGCAGGCTCCCTACCAAGAGGCTCAGGAAGCCGGCGAGCCTCGCCGGCGAGGATTCCTTGCGGAACATCGGCCGGGCCGCCGTGACGAGCATCACGAACTGCGCGCCGACGATGGTCAGGAACAGTAGGCTCTCGGAGACGGTGACGGCGTGGTTGGGGGAGAAGTCGGTGGAGGTGGAGTAGCCGAAGAAGGTGCCCGTCAGCCCCGCGCCGGTGGCGATGGTGTTCACGGTGGCCGACGCGTCGAACTGGCTCTTGAGCTTGCCGTCGTAGTCCTCGTAGCTGATTAACACCGTCGTCCGCTCGCCGCGCGGCGGCGGGAACTCGTGGAGCACGCCGCCGCGGTGGCGGTGGTGGTGGTGCTCCTTGGCGAAGAGCAGGAGGACGAGATAGATGGGCGGCACGAGCGCGACGGCGAGGAACGAGTAGAGCGCGTTGAGCGACATGAGGAGGCAGAATGGCATGGACATGAGGAGCACGGCGGAGGCGTAGACCCGGACGACGTGCCACCTGCAGCTCGCGTCGGTGGCCTCGGCGTCGAGGAGCCTGGTGACGAGGGCGAGGTAGACGGAGCCCATGAGGTCGACGAAGAGCGCGGCGCAGAGGAGCGCGACGCCGGCCTTGGCCCACGCGCTGCCGGCGGTGAAGCTCGCCGTCCGGTGCTGCAGCAGCGAGGTGGCCAGCGTGAACTCGTACACCAGGGCGCGCTTCGAGTACTCCATGAACCGCTCCAGCCGCTTCTCTCTCGTCGTCGACGACGACCTCTCGGCGGCGGCCGGACCATCATCAGCCTCAGCATCTACGTGCAAACTAATGGCATTGGCCGGCGCCGCCGCGGCTGCGCGGTGGTGGAGTGCGCCGCGGCCGGAGCGCGGCGGCAGCCTAAGGTGTTCGTCCGAGCTCGACATTGCCGGAGATGCGGTGGTAGTACTTCACGGTGGTATATACTGCCTTTATTTCCACTTAGGCTCCGCTAATTAACAAATAATAACGTTGACCGTTGACCCAAAGACTTGAGGTGTTGGACTGTACCTGGCCAGTCTGTGTCTACCCACGCGTTATCGACATCGCAAATGACAACTGATCGACAACTAAACATGGAAAAGTCTATACGTACTTAATTACTCGCGGAAAAAAAATTGTCTTCGCGCTCAAATTTCCAACCGTTCGATCCGGCCTGCTCCAAGATTCGTGTTTTTGTTTAATGGGCCCGCAGCTGGTTTTGGATTCATTCCGAGTCGCATCAAAGGCTCCCCGAGCACCAAGCCGTTGTCTCCCGAGTCGACGAACTCCAGTGGGTTGAGGCGGCACAGGCAGACCGGCGGCGACGGCAGGTAGCGCCACATGGTGTAGAGGTCGTCGAGGACGAACAACCATGATCAATCTCCGCATTCGCCTTCTTGAGGGCATCCGTCACGACGCGGCGCTCGTCCTCCTTATGTCGAAGATCCTCTTCGGTTCTTCCGAAGGGGAAGCCGATGTCCGCCCAGTCTAACTTGGGCAGACTGCTTGGCGCTATAATGCGCAGCGAGGGCCTACCAAAAGAAGACAGAAACCGTTAAGTATGAAAAGCGAAAGACAAAATAAACAAAAAAAAAACCCGAAAAGGGGATAGTTAGACCCGAACAAGTAGACTTTCCACGGCCGCACACCCTTCGCTGGACTCATTACACCCGACGGTGAAACAATCTGGCAAACGCCTTCGATGAAGGGACCGATCTCCGGTCGAGAGGCGAAGTCGGCGGAGACGAAATGGGGGACGGTGTGGGGAATGTTGGACACTGTCATCTCGACTGCCAGACCCTTGCCCTCTCGCTGCCGACTCGTCGAAGGCAATGTGGCAGCCCCGTTAGTGCCGGAGATGTTCGTTGCCACCGGTTGTAGCGCTAAGTTCGAGGCAGCAGCAGTAGCCGAAGCGCTACCACCGGTGCGCGCATCGGCGTCGCTGGCAGGTGGCAGAGACGACAACCTCTTTCGCGGTGGGGGGTGGCGCAGCGCCGGTGAAGTTGGTGTTCCGTCTGAAGACGCTTCGCTGTCTGAGAAACTGCCGGCCACCTGAACCACCCCCTTCTTCTTCTTTCGGGCAGTGGCACCTGCCTTCGACGCGGCACCGGCGATAGACAGCAGCGCATAAGCTCCGGCGACGTCTTGAGGACGTGCGAGCGAAGCGCTAGAGCCAGCCCCAGCCTTCGGCCGAATGGGGCTCGGAGTATAGCCCGTGACCCGACATCATCATCCGACACTTCCTCCCTTTCGCCGTCGTCGTCGTCGTCCGCGCCGGTCTCCACGGCATCTTTTGTAGCCCGCCGAGTCCGCACTTTGCCACCTTTGGCTATGACGCGCTTGTGTTTCTTCGACGTCCCAACGTCGTCATCCCCCCTCGCCGGGTTCGCCCAGCTGGTTAGTTCGCCGTTGTAGACGCGATTCGCTTGGCCATTGGATTGTCGTTGCAGCAAGCGAGCGTATTCGGCGGTAATCACCCCGATCATTTTCGCTGCCTCAGCCTCGGCATCCTCCAACAAGCGGACTGAATAAAGAAAAAGGGGGGGGGGGGGCGGCGGGCAAAAAGGCAAAGTAAGCCCGAAAGCATGCCATGACAATAAGTACAATGAATGAAAGAAGAAGGAGGAGCTTACAATTGCTACCGGAGGGGAGCACGAGGTGGGGAAGCACGAGCACTTCCTATCCTTCTTGAATAGTAACTCCCAAGTCACACGCAAGGGGGGAGATTCGCAACATGCAAAACTCCTCACAGAGGTCGCGAGTGCTCAGCCGGCGCACGACCTTGCGAAGGAGGATAAGCCGCGATTCGAGCGTGCTGTCAACCTCCACATTCGGCTTGCTAACAATGGCGATTGAAAGGCGCCGAAAGCGGAGCCAATTCGCTTTGTCATCTTCGGCAGAGTAGGGGTTTTCGACGTAGAACCACTTCTGCATCCAATTGCGGTCCCACTTCGCCATCGACGCAGGGACTGGCCAAGCGTCCGAACTCTCCGGCCGAAGCATGAAGTTTATGCAGCCGAAAACTGTCTTCTTCGGCCCCGCCGGTTGTGGAGATTATGGATACCCCATATCTACACGGCGGTTATATTTAGACTGGATATAGGATACCGAATATAGATAGAATATCTTTATTTGTATCTCGGGTTTGTTTCTTAACTTGTACGTCAAGGAAATACCCTGAGGTTTAGTCGGTTACGATTGTATTTTATCTGTATTCTCATATTCCGTTAGGGATATGAGTTATACCTTGTAATACGGACTCCTTCCCCTATATAAGGAGGGGTCCGAGTCCTTCCTGGGACACCAATTCTCTTGGAGATTATACATTCAATAATACACTCGGCGGATTCATCCCCGGACAGGAGTAGGGTATTACTTCTTGAATAAGAAGGCCTGAACCTGTATAAATCATTTGTCTCCGAACCCATCCACTTTTCTAGCTTAATAGCCACCCCCTTTTAGAATTGCCGAAATCTTGTTTTGACAGTTGGCGCGCCAGGTAGGGGTTGCGTCAAGCTTTTCGCCGATTAGTGCAATGGGTTCCGTCTCCGGCATCGACGACCTCGTCTTCCCTCCCGGGCAGGCGTTTCGGTTCGGCAGCCTCGACTTCATCACCAACAACTTCGGCAAGATCTCTCTTCTCGACTCGGAATCAGACCAGTCAGGAGAGAGCCGGATCTCGGTCTCGTTTGGAGTTCCAAACGCGGCTAAGATCTACTCCAAGTCCATCTCAATCGAGTCGGCTTCAAACCACTCGGACGAGATCGCATCTTCTCCAACGTCATCAGATCGAGATGATGGGGCTTACCTACCGATCCTAATGAAGCTCCCCGATGATTTGGCGGCTGTCTTCACCACCACGACGTCCCCTTCCCGTAGGCCTAGGCGGAGGTCGGCTTCAACACCGATCTCGCCTAGCTCCAGGGAAGTTGGCGTCATCCTCCAGCCACTCGGCACAGTTTCGACGGACCAGTTGGAGGGCTACTGGAGCTCTCCCGGCGTCGACTCGCGTCCGACTGTGATCGTGGAGTACAATGAGTTCGGCTTTCGCAGCAACGACCCGGATCTCGACAACTTCGACGAAAGCCTAGAAGACAACTACACCCCTCTCTATTTCGGCGTCTTTATGGCCGATAATGAGTCGGAAGAGCAACGCCAAGCCCGAGAAACCGAAGCACGACACGAGGCCGAACGACGCCGACTGGAGGAGGAGCGTCAAGCACAAGAACAAGAACGGCTACGGCGTGAGCAACAGGAGCGCGAGCGGGCCGCAAAGGAAGCTGAAGACCGGCGGCTACGAGCCTTGGAAGCAGGGCGCCGAGCGCGAGATCTTATCGGCCAACAAGACGTTGAGGGGACACCGGTTTTCCGCACCCCACAACAGAACGCTGTTGCCGCGATCACCCTCCTCGACACCCTCCTCAAGGAGAACGAGCTCAATCAGTCTGATCATGTTGTCAACATCTTGAACCAGACCAAGACCATGATTGCTGCTTCGGTCCCAGTTAACTCCAGAAGCGTCCGCACGCCGAGTGGCAGCCAAGTTCCCCATCTTCGATCTCATGACTACCATCAGCCAAGCCTCAGCATCGCCGGCGCAGGATCTAATCACAGGAGCAGGGGCCACGACGAGCGATCTGTTCACTCGCCCCCCGAGCATCATAGGGAGCGCCGAGTGGAACGACCTCGCTCGCCGCCTTGTCGTCGCCCCGTCGATCTTCGCGACACGATCATTCAGCGTCGAGCGGCCCGAGGCCACCATCATTCACCGGATCGCTACGACGATGACCTAGATGGAGTTGCCGCTTTCACCAACGACCTGTGTCGAGTGGATTGGCCAGCCGGCTTTAAGCCGACTGGAATAGAGAAGTACGACGGTACCACTAATCCAGAATCATGGCTTACCGTCTACGGTCTCGCAATCCGTGCAGCAGGAGGAGACAGCAAGGCCATGGCAAACTATTTACCTATGGCTCTAGTGGATTCCGCCCGATCTTGGCTCCACGGATTGCCCCGTGGTACGATTGGATCTTGGGCCGAACTACGCGACCACTTCATTGCCAATTTCCAAGGCACTTTCGAGCGCCCCGGCACATAATTTGATCTTTATAATGTTATCCAGAAGTCCGGAGAATCTCTTCGAGATTACATCCGGCAATTTTCTGAACAACGCAACAAGATCTCCGACATCATTGACGATGTTATCATCGCCGCATTCACCAAAGGAATTCGCCACGAAGAATTGGTCGGCAAGTTCGGGCGTAAGCATCCCAAAACAGTCAAACTCATGTTTGAAAAAGCCAACGAGTACGCCAAGGCTGAAGACGCCGTCATCGCATCAAAGCAGTCGGGCTCCAGTTGGAAGCCAAAAAAGGATACGCTGACTACGGGAGGGGGTGGAAGTAACAACCATAAGGACCGCAAGCGTAAGCCTGAGGAACTTGTTGCAACCACTACTCACTCTTCTCGACAGCGTTCGCGCATCAATACGTTCGACAAGATCATGAACTCCCAATGCCCGCATCATCCTAACTCCAACCACGCGGCCAAAGATTGTTTCGTCTACAAGCAGTTCGCGGAACAATACACCAAGACTACACGGAAGAACTCCGACGAAGAACAAAGCACGTCGAAAAAGAAGGAAGATGGCGACCCCCCGGCGGGTTTTCAAGACCACCGCAAAGAGCTTAACCACATCTTTGGCGGCCCCTTAGCTTATGAATCTAAAAGAAAGCAAAAGTTAACTGAGCGGGAGATTAACGCTGTTCAGCCCGACACGCCCCAATATCTTCGATGGTCAGAAACAGCAATCAAGTTTGACCACTCGGATCATCCCGACCGAGTGGTCCACCCGGGGCGGTACCCCCTGGTACTAGACCCAGTGGTCCGTAATGTCAAGCTTCGCAGAACCCTCATCGACGGTGGCAGCGCACTAAATATC